CCCTTAGGAAAAGAAACAGAGAAAATCGAGTTTGGTTCGCAAACCGAGACAAGGCACAAAAAAGGGTTCGGGAGTCCGGAGGCAGGGCTCACGGCCGCGACTCTGAGACTTCTGAACGAGCGCGATATGCAACATCACCAAGCGCTCAATCGGTGACGTCTGAGTCTTAAGGTCGGTCAAAAATGGGGTGTCTACAACTAGGTTACAATATAAGTTGGGCGAAATTGATTTTGTTTGTGCGGTTGGGCAAAATCTGCTTGGTGAGTGAGCAAAATAAGCTCTACATCGGCAAGCAAGAAACAGCTCGGGTAATCATGAGCGAAATCTGCTCTTTAATTAGCTCGCCAAAATTAGCTCGGTCAATGATGAACAAAATCAGCTTGACGTAATGAGCAAAATCTGCTCTTCATCGGCAACCAAGAAAAAGCTTGGGTAATTATGAGCAAAATCTGCTCTTTAATTGGCCAGCGAAAATCAACTTGGTCAATGATAAGAAAAATTAGCTTCACAAAGCCAAGCAAAAATCAGCTCGGATAATTTTGAACAAAATTGGCTCAGCTTAAATACAAGTTGGGCAAAACACTAACTGTTGGGCGGTTGAGCAAGTTCAGCTCGGTTTAACAAGCAAAATCAACCCATAACCGGATAACACTCATTCTGCAAAAGTTATCCCAGTTTTGAACACTTGCCCCTGGTACTCACAGCAACCTAATGTCTTTGTAACATTTCCACGTAGAAACGCGAACATAAGAGAAAGAAGGGGTCATCTTCTACTACATGTTACAGATTACACCCAATGCCAAAAGGCCAAGTTACAAGAAGCAAAGAAGTTGAAAAGATTACATTTCAAAAGTAAATTATCTAAAGATTGGCCGCATTCCATGGTCTGGGGATAGCTTTTCTATCTAAGTCTTCCAGGTGGTATGCCCCTTTGCCTGCGAGGCCAGTTATCTTGTATGGCCCCTTCCAATTTGCTCATAATTTTCCCTCGCCAGGGATCACTATGTTGCCCGTCACCTTCCTCAAGACCAAGTCTCCGACCCTAAATAGCCTAGGATGCACGGTCTTGTTGTATTTCCTGGAGAGCTCTTGTTGGTAAGTTGCTATGTGGATTAGAGCCCGTTCCCTTCTTTCTTCGGCTAGGTCAAGCTCTAGGGGTACAGCTTTATTGTTCAAGTCTGGTTGGAAACTATCAGAATGAATGGTTGGCATGCTAATCTCCAATAGTATGACTGCCTCCATGCTGTAAGCCAAGAAAAATGGAGTTTCCCCGGTTGAGCGCCTTAGTGTAGTGCGGTATGCCTAGAGCACATTGGTAAGTTCCTCAGTCCACTTCCCTATGGCCTTCTCCAATCACTTCTTCAGTCCGTCCAAGATGGTTTTGTTTGAAGCTTCGGCGTGACCATTTGATTGGAGGTAGGCCGGTGTAGAATTGTGGAGCATAATCTTTAACTCCTCAGAAAACCCGCGAAAGAGTTTTCGGTCGAACTAAGTGCCATTATCCGAAATGAGAGCCTTTGGGATGCCGAATGGGTGATGACATTCTACTAGCCAAATTTTTTAACATCTTTTTCCTCGATGGTGGCCAATGGCTCGGCCTGTACCCACTTGGTGAAGTAGTCGGTAGCAGCGATGAAAAATTTCCAGTTGAGTAGAGCTACTGGAAGAGGTCCTACAATGTCTAGCCCCCAAAGTGCAAATGGCCTAGGACTTGTAAGGTGGAGCAAATTTCTGTCCAGTTGGTGAATCAGGTCAGCGAATTTTTGACTTTTTTACATTTGCGAACATATTTTTACGTGTCCTCCTGCATGCATGACCACCAATAACCCCTGGGAAATTGCTCGGTATGCAAAAGATCAGCCCCTAATATGGCTTCCGTAAATGCCTTCATGAATCTCGAAGAGGAAAGCTTCAACCTTGCTGAGGTGGACACACTTCAGGTATGGCCCAGTGAAAGATTTCCTGTACAAGGCGCCAGATGGAGAGAGCCAAAACTGCTCTAACTTGGCCCTTATCTTGTTGGCCTTTTTCTTTTCATTGGGTAGAATTCAATCCTTCAGGAAGGTGATCATAGGATCCATCTAGGATGGTCCCAAATCAGCGCAGAGTACTTCAGGCACCTTCGGTTCCTCAATGCTCGGTTAGACTAAGAATTCTATCATCAAAGGATTGGGAAAAGTCGTTTGCATAGATGCTAGGCCGGCCAATTCGCCGGCTGCATTGTTTTTTTCGCGGTTAATTTGTTCCATTCTTATTACGGCAAACTTTTTGATTTCTGCGCATACCAGCACTTCATACTTCGCCATCCTTTTATCCCTGGCATCATATTCCCCAGAGACCTGATTGACAACTAGCTTGGAGTCGTTGAATACCATAAGTTCTAATGCCTTCATTCTCAAAGCGCTCCTCAATCCGGCGAGGAGGGCTTCATATTGCGCCTCATTGTTGGATGCTAAGAACCCAAGTATGATCACATGCTCAATGGTTAGCCCATCCGAGGACGTCAACACAACCCCTAGCCCGGCGCTACGTCAATTGGAGGCCCCATCGACGAAGAGTTTCCACATCTCGCCAATGAACAACTTCCAGTCGTCAGAGGGATTTTGAGAGTTCCTCCACTTCAAGGTACTGGTCGGCTCAATCAGGTCTCTTTCTACATCTCCGTCATGCTTGTATTTTGGTAAATCGGCCGGTTCTTCCAATTCTTGCTTAGCTTTCTCTTATCGTTCTGCTACTTGTTGTTCACCACTTATTTCTGTTATCCGAGCCGTAGGCTGCGCCAAGTCCGCGCTAGCTAAATCGACAGCGTAAAGAGGGTATGTTCTAGGGACAAATTCCGCCATGAAGTCGGCAAGGGCTTGAGCATCGATAGTAGCGCGTGGCTGGAACTTGATATCGTATTGCCCCAATTCCACGGCCCACTTCTACCGGTGAAATCTGCCTTTTCAAAGAGCACCTTGAGCAAAAATTCGGTTAGCAAGACTATCGTGTGGGCATGAAAATCGTGTGCCAGCTTTCTGGAAGCCATCATGAGAGCCAGAGTCAATTTTTCTAGGGGCAGATATCTTGATTCTGCCGGGAGCAGTATCTTGCTAACGTAGAAGACGGGGAGGTGCTCGATTCCCTCAGCACGGATGAGGATGGCGCGTGCTGAGAAACTGCCAAACAGAGATACAGTCCTTCACCCGGTTTTGGTGTGACCAAGATTGGGGTCGAGGAAAGGTATACTTTTAGATCCGCTATTGCACAGTCACACTCGCCATCCCAAAAGAACTTGGGCTTCAAAGTTTTGAAGAAGGGTCCGCAATGATCTGAAGACTGGCTAATAAATCGGTTCAATGCGACTGCCATTTTGACGAGATGCTGCACATCTTTCGTGGAGTTTGGCCGCTCTAGTTCTTGTATTGCTTTAGGCTGGGAAGGGTCGGCCTCGATTCCTCAGTTTATGACAAAAAACCCTAGAAATTTCCCAGTTCCAACTCCGAATGCACACTTGTAGGCACTTAAACGCAGCTTGTGATGTATGAGTATGGCAAACATTTCTGCTTGGTTAGCAAGGTGTTGAGACTTGTCTTTGCTCTTCGCCATTATGTCATCGACATAAGCCTCTATCGTGCGACCAAGAAGAGGAGCGAATATTTTGGTTGCCATCCTCTGAAAAGTTGCCCCGGCATTTTTGAGACCGAACGGACTTTGTAGCAGTACAAGCCTCTTGGAGTGGTGAACGAAGTGATCTCTCAGTCTGGTTTGTACATGGCGATCTGGTGGAAGTCGCGATATGCATCTAGAAAGCCAAACCTTTGATGGCCAGCAGTTAGATCCACCAACTGGTCTATTCTCGAGAGGGGGAAGTTGTCCTTTGGGTAGACACGTTTGACTGTCTTATAATCGACCCACACCTACCATTTACCATTCTTCTTCGGCACTACCACTGTGTTTGAGATCCATCTGGGGTACTGCACTTATTCTATCGCCCCAGCTTCCAAAAAGTTCTTGACCTCTTCTCCCACTATCTCGGCATGGTGCAAGGCCGAGCGTCGCGTTCTCTGGATGATTCGTCGCGCATTTGGAAAGACATTCAACTGGTGGCAAATGAAGCTAGGGTCGACACCAGGCATATCGTAAGGCGACCACAGAAAGGCCTCAATGTTTTAAACCAAAAAGTTCACATAATCGAACCGCTTGGTGTTAGAGAAAGATGATCCCAAAAGAAAGAACTTATTTGGATCATTCTCATCAACGCGCACTTCCACCAAATCTTCAACTGATTTCTCTTCGACTGTTCTTCCCACGACTTCCAGGACTTCGTTCCCTTCTGGTCCTTCTATCATTTGAACAAAGCCTTTGGCAGCCTGGCTGCCATTTACTGTAGTAAAGCACTGTTTTGCCATTACTTGGTCCCCCCAAATCTCTTCTAGTTGTCTGGCTAGCGCTGGAAGCGTGGGACTTGGTGATAAGTCGACGCTACTACCTGCATGACGTGCAACCAACCCCTTCCTTGGGTGAAGTTGTAGGTTAATGGAACCTTAAGCACCCAAAATTCCACTTGCTTCATGACTGACCCAGCTTTGACCAGCAATATAATCCTTTCGATCGGCCATTCGGGTTGAGAGTTAAAGCCTACCAAAGGGGACGTTGTTGGAGCCAACTCTTTGTCCTCCAACTTTACCTGTTTCAACGCATCGTAATACATGATCTCGACCAAGCTCCCCTGGTCAATTGGAATGCTTTTCATATCAAAGTCCTTGATGTGAAGGGTCACTACTAAGGCATCTTTATGAGGCGTTTGAATTCTCTCCAAGTCCTTGCTTGAAAAAGTTAAGACGTCTTTTACCATGGTCTTTCCTTTCTTCACGGCGGGTTGAACAGAGAGCACTTCCCTCATGTGCTCGGCCTTCTTGATCATCCCTCCCATCTCGCAAACTGGCGCTGGTTCGATGATGCCGTGAATGACATTGATTACGCCTTGGGGTATTGCATCCAAGACAGCAAGGCCATTTGGCTCGGCCCAATTGTTCGGCGCAAACCTCCATCTTAATTGCCCCTTAATCCCATCCAAGCTAAGCGTGATTGGGAATACTACTCCGGCCGAACTACCCATTTTGGTTGGCCATTGAGGATTGCGCCAGTAGTCTTGTCATCGATCAATCGGTTGTACTGAAAAACCATATTTTCAACGCCACGTGGCCTTCCTTGACTGGTTCCATGCGTTCCTATACCTGTCCACATTATACCAAAGATTTGAAAAGTTGTTGCCAATTCGGTTTCCCCCATATATACACACAAGAAGCCAAAAACCCTCATCACTGTTCATCTCCCTTCTGCAGAAACCCTAAGGTTCAGACCTCCAAGCTTCTGCCACCGCCGTCGTCGCTGTTGTCGTTGCTTTTCGAGTCGTTTCCAGCTATTTCTGTCCTCGCGAAGGCCTCAGTAAGGGTCGTGGTTGACTAGGTCTTGACTTGGCATCCATACCCTTAAGTTTTTCTTACTTTCTTTTATATTCTCCATTGATGTTCTTCGTGTTCTTCATTCCCGTCTGTTTCGTGACTATTAAAATATTGCCTATGCCCCTCTTGTGGGATTAATATCTGTGAGCATTAGGCCAAATCGATGCCCTAAGTAGCAACGGGGCTTCCTTGCCCCTTATTTCCCTTGATTACTGTAGGTGGTTCTGAATTTTGGATGAATACTGAAAACTCTAGGTAGAACCGATCAAAAACCCACTTTTAGATCTAAAAATAGGATTTAGCCGAGCTAGAACTGGTTCGAGGTCCTCCCTTGAGGTCCTTCCTGTGGGAAGATCAAACCGAGATAGGAACCGAAATACAGCACCACAACCCGTCAAATGACCCAGAATCTCGAACCGAGCTAAAAAACATCCTCATAGGAGTCATGCAAGTTATGTCGTGCTAATACTTGGACTTATTTTTTAATAATGTAGAACAAACTAGGACCAGCCAGGCCCACTCAGCATAACTGTCTATGAGTCTCAAAGACTGAGCAAACAATCACCCAATTTTGACTGAGCTATAATCAAAATTACCCAACTAAATAAAATCAGGATAGATAGGAAAGTACCGGTTTATGGTTAATTCGCCTAGGGCAATGGCCGAGTTCCATAAAGAATACAATATTCCAGACGATGTCCACTTAGGGCTAGCCAAGAAATGAGACAGTCCCTGGGGCGAACTAGACAAATGCTCTTTCACGGTGATATCCATTGTGGCTGGCAGCCTACGCTTCCTAGTCCAACCCTTAGTCTGCGAATTTTTGAGGCAGACTATGCAGTGCCCGACCCAAGTCTCCAACAACACATACAAAATAATAAACAACATGGCCGTGTAGAACAGGATGCTCAATCTGAATCTCGGCGTCATTGAGATATTCTGTCAATACACACTCAACAAAAATAAAGGGGGATTTTATTGGTATCTCAAAGTTCGGAAAGGCCAAGCAAACCTTATCGAAGGTAACCCGGATAAAGAGACAAACGACACTGATTTCTTGTGGGTTTCCGGTACTTACGAGGACACCAAAGTGCCCATACCGGGCTGGTACATAAGAAAAGATGTTAGGAGTGCTGGTGAGCACCTTAGCATGTTTTTAATTCTGTAATTGTTCTTGATTTTGCGGATCTGACCCTTGCTTTCTTGTTGTAGACTACAGACTCTTGGCCGAAGATTACTCCCGCGCAAACCAAGTGGCCATAAGGATTACGTTACGGCATCCGGCCAAGGGGAGAGAGCTGAAAAAATTGCTCGGTTATGAACCGAGTTACCGTTACATAGCGCCACGCAGGAGCAGGGTGACCGACTTCCTTCATGTCCCCTCTCCGGAGCCAAACACAAACCTTCCGCCAATCAAACTTGTACCATTGACAGAAGAACAAGAAATGGCCAAAATCTGAGCCATAAAGTCTATGATCACCGGGGAGCCAAGCGACTCATAGCCGGCTGAAACGATAGGAGGCCAAACATCTAGGCCTGTTGTGCAAAAGGGGCCCGAGCTAGCTCTTGCCAGCGAGGCAGCTGCTGGTCGGTCGAGAAAAAGGCCAAGAAAGGAGCAAGCCGAGTTGTGCCTTGTTGACAAAGATTCGGTGAAACTACCATCGACTGAACTGGGAGAGCAGACTGAACAACCGGTTTTCAGGCAATCTGCCCATTCCACTACCCCTGCAGTTTGGTCACTCGAGCTAAAATACAAAGGTCGAGCAGTGACGGATGCGGACTTCATTTACATGGATGAGGACCATTCGCTCGGCTTCAACATGACCAAGGATTTGCTTCTCCGAAGCATGAGGAACTGTCTGACCTGAAAGTCCTTCTGTCGGTCGCAAAATTGGTCGTTCTTGTAAGTGATCGAGTTATTATACTTCCAAGTTATAAATCGGTTTCGCATACTAACTTCTGCCTCGCTGCAGGCCGCATAAAAAAAAATATTTGGTGAACGAATGTATGATTTATGTGCTGTAGAGTTTGAGGGAGGCTATCACTGACAACAAATCCGAGACGGTCGGGCTGGAGAAGCTGAAGATTGCACATGAGGCAGTGTTAACCAAGTGGGATCTCCTGGATGAGAAGTTGGTGAAGGCCAAGGAGGAGAAAGATAAGGTCGTGCGGGCCAAAAATGAGAGATATTTGGCCGAGCTACCCGAGCTCCGCACCATCCACAGGGCCGAGCTAAAAAAAGAAGTGGATGACGCCAAAGATCGGGGATACGCCGAGAGGGAAAGGGTGTACGAGGGGCCGGTGGCGGGCACCAAAGACATATTTTTTCAGTGCGGCTGGAAAGCGGCTACGGAAAAACTCAGTCAGGCTCTGGAGTCCGAGGTGTTCAATAACCCCCCACCTGCCTTCATTCCCTCCTATATGCAAGCATATGCTGCTGTTGTGTAGTAGAAGTTGATAGACGACGCTAAGGTGGCCAGCGCGGTCGATGAGCCAACTCTACAACCAACCGACAAGACCCCATTGCCATCCATATCAGAAGAGGCGGCGCCGAGCAGTGAGCAAGAGCCTTCAATCTCCAAACGAGGAACGGACACTGGCGCTGAAAGCGCACAAAATGTGGCAGAAGAGGTGGTGGGCAACCTGGAGGACGCTGTAGATATCGACTAAGGCGTAGCTAGGCCTATGTTTGTCCCCTTCATTTTTTTAATTTTTTATTTATTGATGTAGCCGGCTACGAGCCCCACTTTTGTAATCAGGCTTTATCATGAATGAAAAGTGAACATTTTCCTCGCCATGTATGCAAATTTTTGTTTGCCCTATAGTTTTCATTTTCTTCGATTTGGCCAAGATAAAATCTTCTCGGTGCATTCTAAGCGTAATGGTCTCAGTTTAACGAGCAAACTCATCTTGGTTTAAAATATTAATTGAACACAACACCAACTGTTTGGTAGGCCTAGCAAGGTCAGCTCAGTTTTAATAAGAACTCGGTAAAGACACCAACATTTTAAGCGGGCGAGCAATGTCAACTCGGTTACAATATAAGTTGGGCAAAATTGATTCTGTTTGTGCGGTCGAGCGAAATCAGCTCGGTGAGTGAGCAAAATCAGCTCTACATCGGCGAGCAAGATACAGCTCGGGAATCATGAGCGAAATCTACTCTTCAATTGGCGAGACAAAATTAGCTCGGTCAATGATGAACAAAATCAGCTCGATATAATGAGCAAAATATGCTTTTCATCAGAAACCAGGAAACAACTTGGGTAATTACGAGCAATACCTACTCTTCAATTGGCGAGACAAAATTAGCTCGGTCAATGATAAACAAAATCAGCTTGATGTAATGAGCAAAATCTGCTCTTGATCGGCAACCAGGAAATAGCTTGGGTAATTATGAGCAAAATCTTCTCTTCAATCAGCGAGCCAAAATCAACTCGGTCAATGATGAGCAAAATCAGCTTCACAAAGCCGAGCAAAAATCATCTTGGATAATTATGAACAAAATTGGCTTGGCTTAAATACAAGCTGGGCGAAACACTAACTGTTGGGCGGTTAAGCAAGTTCAGCTCGGTTCAACCAGCAAAATTAGCCCATAACCGGATAACCCCTCATTCTGCAAAAGTTATCCTGGTTTTGAACACTTGCCCCTGGTACTCATAGCAACTTAATGTCTTTGTAACATTTCCGTGTAGAAATGCGAACATAAGAGAAAGAAGGGGTCATCTTCTACAACATGTTACAGATTACACCCAATGCCAAAAGGCCAAGTTACAAGAAGCAAAGAAGTAGAAAATATTACATTTCAAAAGTAAAATATCTAAAGATTGGCCACATTCCATGGTCTGGGGATAGTTTTGCTATCTAAGTCTTCCAGGTGGTATGCCCCTTTGCTTGCAAGGCCAGTTATCTTGTATGGCCCCTTCTAATTTGCTCCTAATTTTCCCTCACCAGGGATCACTATGTTGCCCATCACCTTCCTCAGGGCCCAGTCTCCGACCCTGAATAACCTAGGATGCATAGACTTGTTGTATTTCTTGGAGAGGTCCTGTTGGTAAGTTGTTATGTGGATTAGAGCCCGTTCCCTTCTTTCTTCAGCTAGGTCAAGCTCCAGGGCTACAGCTTCATTGTTCAAGTCTGGTTGGAAACTTTTAGAATGGATGGTTGGTATGCCAATCTCCAACGGTATGACTGCCTAAATGCCATAAGCCAAGGAAAATGGAGTTTCCCCAGTTCAGTGCCTTGGTGTAGTGCGGTATGCCTAGAGCGCATTGTGAAGTTTCTCTGCCCACTTCCCTTTGGCCTTCTCCAATGGCTTCTTCAGCCCGTCCAAGAAGGTTTTGTTTGAAGCTTCGGCTTGACCATTTGATTGGGGGTAGGCCGGTGTAGAATTGTAGAACTCAATCTTTAACACCTCGCAAAACCCGCGAAAGCATTTTTCATCGAACTGAGTGCCATTATCCGAAATGAGAGCTTGTGGGATGCCAAAGTTGGTGATGACATTCTACCAGACAAATTTTTTAGCATCTTTTTCCTTGATGGTGGCCAATGGCTCTGCCTCTCCCCACTTGGTGAAGTAGTTGGTAGCAGCGATAAAAAATTTGTGGTTACCTGGAGCTGCTAGAAGAGATCCTACAATGTCTAGCCCCCAAAGCAC